GTTTCTTACTCAATAAATAATACTTAATCAATCAAACTGTGTCTTATTTTGAAGCTCGGTCGTATCTTTAATGCAGTATAACTTTCGTGGATGTGGGGTGAGCGTTTCGTGCGCTACGGCGATTTAAGTTCACAGTTCGTGGCCTTTCATCACATAGGTCACAAACTGTACACTGATGCTGGGGAAGGTATTTAAGCGGTGTTTCAGTAGGTCAATAAGTCAACTTATTTGAGTTTTGGCTGGCTGGGCATGGCTGAATGGTGAGATTTTGGACAGAGCGGCTGAAAAGTGCATCGACCTCATCGGTCATCGCGAAATAGGGCTGCCACGCCAAAAGTTTACTGGACGAGCCAGGCGATTGCGAACAAAAACTAATGCTGAGCTGGCGGACAAACTCCGAAGGATAAGTTAAACATCCAACGAAGTGTGCGAAATCTTACTTCACAGTCGATTCTTCGCATAAAAGGCGCCTAAGCATAATGATGAGGGATGTTTCATCGTCGTGTATGTCGATCCGCTCGACCTCGTGACCACTGCCAGCTCGATTTCCAAAGAATCGGGTAAGGAAAAGCCCATGAACCGCAGTTAGTCCAGCTCTTAGGCTTTTGGAGGTCTCAAAGGGGCTTCGATTTAACACAAGCCACAGAAAATACAATTATCGTCAACCCAGGCTAGATCCTAGACTACTACAGCAAACACCTTCTATGCCACGAACGCAGTTGTTTGCTAACTTTACAATAAGTTCAGCTAACCAGACTGCGATAGATTGGAACACCGTAACCTCCAGCGCCTCTTCATAACCAATAGGTATCCCCGCAAATCCATCGGATTCGGGAGGCAGTCCAGACCGTGCCACAAGAGGGGATTTGCTGCTGCAGCCCCATTTGATAGATGCTGCATGATTAGCCTCCTAAAGCAATTTTGGTTAACATACTTTACTTAACCACTCGCTGGATTAGGCGGGGTAAGAAAGCGCAAATGGAGCCCGGAGCACGCGCCGGGAAGCGGGCGTGGACCGGTGCTTGATGTAACCACGACACAGCCACTCTCTGGATTAAGAGGAAAGGGAGAGCAAAGTCACAGCGGGAGAACCACGGAGGGAAACCAGGTGTTCATTCGCAGTGCATAGTCACTATAAAGCAACCGACGGAGTTCCCCTCCGTCCGCTCGCTTGATGAGGATAATAAAGAGGGCGCAAGCAGGGCTCGAAGCACGTACAAGGAAACGCGTGTGAACTGACACCTGATGTAACCGAGGATGGCGTATAAGGACTCCCTCTTGAGGCACACTCGCTGAATTTAAGTAGCAAGGAGGACGCAAGCACGTGGTGTACATGAAGTCAGCGTAGTCTTAATTATAAAACTGTTTTTGGAACTTAACTATGTGGTATAAATCAGGTGGGGCTACAGGACCAAACCTCGCCAGTCACGTTTATTGAAAGAACAAACAGAAGTTTTCATACTGACCCAACCGTGAAAAACTCAGCGCCTCGGTGGGATTCGAACCCACGCAGTAAGGGGAAGGCTTTAGTACAGCCAACGCTCTAACCACTTGAGCTACAAGGCCCCGCCGGACGACACGAGTTTAATCACATTTGGGTCAAGTGGTGGATTCTAGGTGAATTATCTAGGAAATCCTGCCTGGGCAGTCAACTTACTGTATCAGATTTGGTGGATTCCAGACGTTGCAGTAGGTTGGATGAGTAACTTGACCCAAATGGGATTAAACTCGCGTCGTCCCGCGGGGCCTATTAGCTCAAGTAGTTAGAGCGTTGGCTGTATTAAAGCCTTCCTCTTACTGCTTGGGTTCGCATCCCACCGAGGCGCCGAGTTTTACACAATTGGGTCGATATGAATCATTCAAAATCTACCAAAACATCTATGAAACAGAAGTCTGTCAAGCATTTTCATGAACTGGTCGTCTTCCTTGGCTGCAGGGGACCAGTATCATCCACAGGCCGGGTATACCTGTCTGACATCTGATGATAAGGCCAGAGGACGCCCTCCCACAGGGCGGGACGATGAGCATCATCCAGTGGGTCCATGGTAACTCATTCGAAGTAAGCCTCATTACAGTGACCGTAAGAAGACTACAGAATCACACAAGAGAACACCTTCGGGGAGTGAGTAGGATAGACACACATTCTTTGACGATGGAATGCTGTGCACACTCGGCGCACATATTCGCTTCCCCGAACACCAAAATCCTGGGCCGAAAAAAGGATTGCGTAGCCAGGGAAACGGCTGAGGCCTGGTACGCGTAGTGTGCATCTGCCTGAAATCTACGCAGCCCGATGATCTAAGGAGGCGAAAGAAACCCAAGCTCTGCACCACTCAAGATCGCGTAGACAAACCCTCCATAACTCAGACTGGACAAATGAGCAGCTGTCAATACTGCCTAGATACTCACTCAGGATGAGGACCTTCAAGTATGCTTAGACGCGGTTAGCACCCCCCGAACGGCAAGTGCGGTCAACAGAACTGTCGATAATGTCCCCCCAACGCCCAAGCAGAGGGTCCTGGCGGGAGGCGTGGAAACTATGTCCTCCACTCCCCTTCCTGCCGCGCCGGCTGCGCAGATGACCCCGTGATATCGCAACCGTCCCCTCAATATAAATACTACAAGGCGCAATCGAAGTTGAGTGCGTTTTTTTGAAAAAGCTGGGAACGTACGTGCGTGTTTCTCGAGTCAGTCTTCGCGTTTCTGAGGTCGCGTTGTGAACAGTCATGATGCCCATGTCAGAGGTCCCTGTTCAGGGGACCGCTGCGTCAAGGTCATTCATCTTCTCAGCGGACTGTCCAAAACGCGCTGACCCGCAACCACTCGTCCGACTTCGACTCGGACGCACATGCATTCACAGAGTCACAGTTGCGCATTCATCACTTGAACACGCCACCTCCCCTGTTAACACAACATAAGGTACACGAACACCACCCCTCGGTAAATGTAACACACATGAATGGGACATCACTTGAGCTTAGCCCATAAACCCGAAAACGCCCCTGCAACTACCGTCTCATTGGGTCCCAGGCACGCAGTCAGCACCAACCCTGGCTCCGCCAACAGCCACCGTCGCCCGAGAGGCCAGCTCAGTGGATTGTATACTATAAACCCCTCCTGCTGGTGCCTTCCCTCTTTTCCCACAACATAGGATCTCACCTGATAATTGCAAAGCTATGAGAACGCTCTGTCCGCTTAGCCGCAACGGACGCATTCTCTTGTTTCTATTGCGCATATATGAGTTATGTCAGTGTTTGATAAAATAAAAATTTGAAATGTGGTGCTAATATACCTATTAGTGCCACTGTATCTCATTCTATTTGAAATGTTTAGCGGCATTGTGAATGAAATAAGCCAAACGCACTGTCAGTCCCTCAGCCGCCTTCTGAAATTGCTGTCAGGGTTTTGAAACAATTTAGACCGCAAAGCCCAAAAGAACCATCTCTAATCGATGCCCCAGAAAGCTCAAGCAATGCCTAATGCAAGGATGATCACACAAGACTTGGACCACTTATGGCATTATGTTTTCAAAAGAGACTTTTAAGTGTCCAAGCAAAATGTGTGTAACCATTATCCCCTCTGGAGAAGTATTAACGAAAGGAAGGACTGGAATGTCCAATTCGAGTTCATTTGCTGTCGTCAGACTGCATTCTCAGTGACGCCACCCTCGTCGGACTTTTCAGATCTTCGATCAGTGGGGTGTAATTTTGATCCCATTTTTGAGCAGTTCAACTAGCGCCCAAATAACTCACATTTGAGATCCGGGTGCTACCGGGTCTGCGGCTGTCTGGTGACGCCAAATAAACCAGAAATGGTCATTGCTCTTGCCCTTTCCCTTGTCGGTCAGTCTATTCATTCACTGATTAGTACTCACTTTGCTATTTCCGATGTGAACAACAGGTTGATGTTTCAAGGTTGAACGGAAGGCCCGTATTCCACCCCGCAATTAAGTAGGCCAACGAATACCACTTCCAAATGCGTCTGCCATTCCTAAGCTGCATAGAGTCAGTCGTTAGTTATAAGCAATGGGCATCTTAGAGCTTGGATTAACGACCTGGACGTACTCTGTGGTTTCCATCTAGAACGCAAATCTATAGATGATGGGGTGTGAAAAAGTTGACTTCTCCTAGGTCCAACATATTAGGATTTGCACAGTCAAATTAAACCTGTCACCACCAAAAAAGAATCGGGAGGGTACGTCTGCGAAGACACATGATACGCCCGTTTCAATCTTTTCCAGTCTTATTGATGGCTCTAGTTGAAAAAAATTATGGCAAAGTTAATATGCCCCCCGTCCGTGAAATACATGTGTCGTAGATCTGTAACATGGCCTGGAACCTTAAAATTCGTTGGCAAAATCAGTTTTCAACAGATGCCAACTGATTTTCGATCGCTGACCTCATGCCTGTGATCAAGTCCATGGTTTGAGTGGTGAACTGACGGCTATGTTTGTGTCTGCCCAGTAAATAATCACAATGCGGTAGGTCTCGTAAATCAGTCAAAACGTCGCAGCCTCCGCAAAGTGCAAAATTACGCGGTTTGAGATTGAAAATATAAGGAGCGTGGAGCTCAACCGACGTCGTGTTCATGAGCTTTTCAGAATGAGGACCCCATCGGTTTTTATTCTCCTTCTTGCGCTTGGTAAGAAATTTTCTCAGATTAATTTCACTCCCTTGAGAACGCAATTTTTAAACAAAGTGTTGAGCCCCATACTATTTTCATTAATCTGACAACATTAAATATCTTGTTTTTTAAATGTACATCTGGTCTTCGAAAATCATTACATTTGCTGTCTCTTCCCCTAAGGCGGAATTTAGCCATAGAGCCAGTAGGAGCTTGACGAAAATTACTTTAGTTGCGAGGTGACGGAGCCAAATATACGTGCACATTTACGTAACCGAAATATCTTTTGCTCATTTGTTCGACGAGCGTCCCTCTGCCACTGTTAATATTACCTGATCGCAACCGACAGAACAACCAGTCTGCGTATCAATGGTTAGATGGCTGAACTCCTACTAAAAGAGCGCGAGTCCGAGATCACGGCTTGCAAAACCCGAGGTTTGTATGGTTGACTGATAATGGCTGTTAAGCCAGAAAAGTTCACTCTAGTTCTTCTCTTCTGTCGGCAATGTCATTCTGCATACATGACAGAAGTTTATGTCTTTCTTCCGACCTAGGTATCCGGAAATGCCCAGACACCTGTTTTGACTTTAAACTCGTTCTTGCAGCAGAAGTGCGGCATGACTATTTGTTATATAAAATCCTATTACTTGTGATGCTATTTTTCTCAGAATAGGCATAACGTAGTTACCTCACAGTAGTTTATGGTCTTCGGCCCAAATATCGATCGAAATTTGGCGTCTGCTCTTAAAAAGCGATGTCCGCGACACTTATCTCCATGTTCTAAATTTGGCAACTGCTGAACTAATTGGCAAAATAAGACTACTTAAGTGGTTTGCATTCTTCCCATTGATTTTTGATGGTCTCATAAAGCAGATATATTTTATGGAAAACATGAACAAAAACCTGCATTCTTTCACTCATTTCGCAGGAAATCAAGTTTTCATATTTTGTACTCCCAGAAAGGGTATCTTCCAGTTTGTAAAAATTTTTTTATCATGAGATTTTTTAGACTGCGTAATTACCATTCATGCGCTATCGTAATTGTCCATCTTCTAATGCTGGACTTGAAGTTTACAATATAGTCCTCATCCACCAAACATAGTACTTTCTCAAATGTGTAGAGGAATGCATGATTTTCTCCACGCAAAAAGTATACGCTTGTAGACTGAAATCGCTGGACGTTAATGAAAAGACTGATCTGGCTCACATTTTTTCAAGGACTTGAAAATTTTTTCATAACCCAAATGTGTGTTTTGTTTGAGTACAAAATGTGAAGAAAAGGTGATTTTCTGCCAAACGAGTAAAATAAAGCAGATTTTTATGCTTGCTTTCCATAAAATATGTTTTAGTTTATCATACCATCGAAAACCAATGTGAAAAATTCAGACCAATTAAGTGGTCATGTTTACCGAGTGTAAATTTTATAGGGGGTTAAAAAGAGAAACATTCAAAAACCAACATCCTGGAAAGTCCGGAATACTATGAGATTATGCCGCGTGGCAATTACTATTACAACCCACCTAAATAATCCTTCCTAATAGAAACATATTTCAGAATTTCGGCTAAAATACCATAAAATAGGTCAGTCAATGTATACAAGGTTGTACTCAGTTGCCTTAGACTCGGAATCGGTTGTTGCTTTCTGGCGAAGGCTCATAAGGTTGAAATTGACGTTCCGGTCTCTTTTATCTTTGTCGGTACTGCCTCATTCCCCTATATACATATATAGAATGATAAAACAAGGGATACTTGGACGGCGATTTCTGACCTATACATCCCGTCAGCCAGTCATATTCAAACCAGGGCGGAAAAAACCTGAATTAAAGCTCAAGGACAAGGGTGTTCGGATTCGATTTCCGAGTTATCGAAACGTGGGCTGGTGTATGAATGACTGATTACGGCTGATACGCTAGAAAGAGCCAGTCAAGTCTCTCTTTACTTTTTCGATACTTCTGTATTTACGTATATATGGAATTATATGTGGCTAAGTCTTCGCTATTCAATACTTACTTTATCTTGTCACTGTTTGTTAGCTATTAATGCTCTTCCAAAAACGGAGGATTACGAAACCGAATCAGATTCCCTAAACCCAGAGGATGAGCTGGTTTGGAACATGACAGAAAGTCTTCAGAAGAGAGTCATTGGTGGTGAGCCGGCCCGCGACGCACAGTTCCCCTACGCAGTCTCCTTAAAAGGTGACTTCCCCTACACGCAGCGCAGCACCTATTGTGGAGCGACCATAATCGACAGTCAGTGGCTTCTGACTGCTGCCCACTGTTTTGGTGGCGACACCCTCAACGGTGACACGTAGGTTTGGTATAGATTACTGGTCCTCTTTTCTGTGCAGCGTCCACTTCCACTATTAAGGCTTGGCTTGTAGGTTCTCTGATTACTTAACTTTTGACGATATGAACTTCCCTCATAAGCGAAAACCGCGACTTATGTCAACGATTAGGAGATACTTAGTTTAAAACAGTAGCCATAATATTTACATATAACATGACGAATGAGGCAAGGGACGGAGGAGTACAGTTATTAACCATGTCTTTCGAATTTCTTCATACGTTCAGCAGTCTCCTGCGCACTTGTAATTAGCTGTTGTAATTAATTGAAGTATGTGCGGACAAACAACATTCAGAACATTTGCTCATCAGTTCCCATGGCCATCAGAAGAGGCATGTGTCGATTCCGAAGTTTCTCTTCACCCATGGACGATGGGTATTTGTAGTACTTTATTCCCAGTCTTCTTAAAAATCCAAAAAGTATGCTTTTTTCCTACCCAAGCAATATGATCATCAAAATTTCCAACACTCAGGAAAGAGCGGTTTTTGACTTCAGACTACCCTGTGATCCGGTAGTAAGTAGTGTTTAAATGATGCTTTCCAGTTGGTACAGAAATCCACCCCCACATAGACTTTTTATATGCAGATTGGGCGTCATCTGCATGCAAATGGCGGACCAATCGTCTTATAACACCTGCTGTTCCTACTGGGGCACCGCCAGTCGACTCATCTAAGGGTCTCCCAGAAGCCTGCCTGCTGCCTAGTTGAGCAGCCGGGTTTTCGAAAAATTGTGGTTATTTGACCATCAAAACATCTGTCGGCATTCTTGCTGCATGCAGACCCAAGCGTGTGCTAGCAGAACGATACTTGCCAAAGCTGCTCTCTAAAGGTGGTGGGTATTTTAATCTGAGAGCATCGTCCAGAAGAATGAAAGGCTAAATGTTAAGTATGAAGTAATACACTTGGTGACCTCTGATTGGCGCAAAGTGGCCCACTGCGCAAGAACTTATAGTGCTTACTGTGAACAAAGATGGATCACCGGGTTCTGCGAATGGGACAAGACTACTTATGACTAGCTGACAGGCTAGCGTTTAAGTCCACAAACACTGAACTTGTCAGGTAGGCGTGTGACGCTCACTGTCGCGGTCAGGATCTCACTCGATCTCATTATGTCCGCCCGCTAACTTGCTACTGGTGTCAACGAACGTTGTGTCTCAGGACACATGCCACATATAATACATAAGTAGCTCACTAACAGTGCAACAGGGCAGACGCAGACAACTGTTCCCCGATCGTTACTGATCATGCTTATGTACCCCACTTCATAAGGCCTATGACGTACTGGTGATCGGCAACGATTATGAAACAGCCGCGTCTGGCCTGTTGTACTCTTGGCGAAACACTGAACTCTCTGAAACATGCGCAATAAACAGCCCAGGTAACTCAAGACCAAAATAGAAAAACCCCTCTCCCCCTAGGATTAAATAATTAATGCCACCCCGTTTTGCGACTGCATGGTTATGAGGATCTGGTTGAATCAATTCAAAGGGGAGGAGACAGTTTGGCTTCATGCCTTTAAGCATCGCTATATGTATCCTCTGATGTTTCGCCAGCGGATGGGCGAACTACATTTTTTGCGAATTAGAGACAGTTTTATCACGTGGGGCAATGCGCATTTATATGCCGTTTCTAATTAAGGTTCTCTGTAAAGTCCTCTGAGCCAACAGGACAAAGATCGGTGTGGCCTAAAAAAGTTAAAAGGTTTTAAAAATTTTAAAAAAATGTCAAACGTTTTCTCAAAGTTAACTTCAAGCCAATTGTAGTTGACCTGGACTCCCGTTCTCTTTATGTAGTATGCGCAATCCAGAATATTGGACAGTTCAGGCGGGCAGCACAACCATTGACGTAAGTTGGTGCTAATCAATTTATTTGTCTAATTGCCCTCCAAAGGTCAGTTAATTTAGGCCTGCTGTTCTTATAGAGCCGAAAAGAGGTCCTCTTTGCTCTCCTTTGATCATTTGATTATTGGGTATATAATTACTGGGCAGCGGTATAGAGAAGGACCCCAATTCGTTGTCAGTAGACTGTGGATCGTGTCATATGCGGTTTTATCTTGGCATGCATTTGCAGGCTGTTGCAGAAAATACACTACCAACAACGATTACTTTCCGCGACCTCATACCTTAACTCAAAATCCCTTATTTTGTGAAATTTACTTTTTGTTTATTGTTTAATTACTACTCTCATTTCCGTTGTTCTACAATAGTGTAGGATAAGACTTTCGGCATAAATCTAGGCAATCTCTGTGTTTTCTTTCATTTTGTCAGCTAACTATCTAGCCTGCTGCCCCACCCATAAAACTCCCTTTAACATAAGTCACGTAGGGCAGGGTCAACAAACTACTGACAGTTAAGTGGGGTCCTTCTCTATACCGTTGCCCATTACTGTCCTTTCCGCACTTTTACAATAGGCGTCTTAACACAGCAATTATGCCTGACTTGACGAAAAGTCTCTAGTTAATCGGACCATGGCTCCAAAGTATTAATGAACGGCCCAACTTTAAATGAAAGCATGAGAGACGTACTGAAAAGTCGGACTAAGACCCACCTAAATAAGTATAGTAGGTATTCTTTGTATGGCACAGACGCTTGGAGACTTCACCCGATCCTTACCGAAATCGGAATAGAATTAGCAGAAGCAAACGTGAATATGTCACACTTTGGCAGCAAGTGAATTCTCGTTCCGTAAAATTACTTGGTGCTATTTAGTGACGGTGTTTCAGGGTGTCTTCGAAATGTCAGTGAAGAATTAAGGGTATTCGGTGTTCTTAACTATCTACCCAAAGGGATAGGTTCCGTGTTTTATTGCTTGCAAATTGGACGGTATTCAAAGGCTCTTTTACCAAAATAGTGTGTTCGCGTGTAAGAGTATTTAGCATTCGGTTATTTGAACGCGTGCCTGTGGAGTTGAGTTGCGCTGCTTCTTTTCAATGCGCTGCATTGAAAAGTCCGAGCCACTTTTCATCACCGCCTAATACACATGTATTTGATAGATCCTTGGCACTTTGTTTAAATGGACTGCATTTGTACTATAAAAACTGTTTTCCTGATCTTATGCATGTTAAAAGGCCTGGCAGACGTCATATTTGCAGTTGCAAAGTCACCGTAACGCCCTCGCTTGCAAAGCCCCCCATGAGCGTTCAGGTGTAATGGTCAGTAATTTGTTCATAGGTAAAATATTTGCACTCCTATCACCTGATCACAAGTGTAGAAGCATTCGCTGACGACTGTGGTCACTGGTCTTTAATATTACCGTGTTTCGTAGGCTCCGTCTTATCTTCCCGTCCAAAATCTTACAAAAATATTTCGGCAAACTCTACCGCATCACTAACTGACAAATGAGACGTTCACCTCGAGCCACAGTCCTTCGTACACTACTATACATATGAGACAGTTTGAGTCAGTGTTGTGCATAGTTGCTGATAGGAATTCCAAGCCTAATATATTCACCAAAACCTGATGACAATGCGCAGTTTGTCAGCTACCCAAATCATTAATTTCCTTATAAGTTCTAATCTGAGTAGGGGGGACGGTTCGCCAGAACAGGTTTATTGAACTGCTGGCGGTTCGGAGAGTTTGTTTGGCCCACTACCGTCAGAGCGTCACATGCACAAAATCGAAAAGAAATGCAAGTGTGGGCCGAACAAGTCGCCGCTGGGCTGATCGATTTTTTTCCGTTTCGCTGACTCAGTCTTTTTGCGAGTGTTCTGCGGGCTTAACAGTTGCGTGCGTTATGAGTCACCACCTCGACGAAGGAAGTGGCTGAGCCTCTAAAAGGTGGCGGCCCAATAGATCTGTGTCGGTGAGCCTTTCACCTGATTAACCTATCACCCGGGATATCTCATCTTCGCAAACCAACTTCAAATTTTTCAAAACAAAAATATAACCCTTCTGTATACGTGATGTGTATAATGGCAGGTTGTGGAACATATAGATTTGTCTTACCGAAGTTACTGCTCAGGTAACGCCCGTTTAAAAGGACTGCTGGATTTCCAAAATTCAAAATGTGGATTATTTTCGATGAGCTTCCGGAACGCCTTGCACTACTTATTTTTTCATTCTGAGCATATTCTTTCATGATTTAAGGAGCCCTTACGTCAAATCAACTAAATTCTACGCTCGTCTGCTTATTTTCGACGAGTGATAGAAGACCCCCATGTCGACTAACCAAGGAAATGCAGTCAGGCTAACAGGAATCATCTATCACTCGTGTGGATGTACTTTAGTTTTCCTGGGAGTCGGACCGAAGTTTCGATAAGTAGTCACTTATATCATCATCCCCTCATTTAGGGCCGCTTATTTAAAGAGGCCTTACAAGTCCATAAATATCAGTTCTACGAAATATACCCTTTTTATACTGCTTAGTTGTTAGAATAATTTAACTCTCTCAATCTCTCGTGGCGGTCTCTGATTAGCTATCCCACCTCGCCCCTCCCTCCCCCCCCAAAAAAATTATTGCAGCTGAGACATAACTCGGTACTAGGATATGCCAGACGAACGGAAGACCATGCACTTACTGGCAAGCTGGAGGAAGCCCCGCCAGTGGACAGATTTCTCAAAGTCCTGAAGACTTTCCTCACGCAGTGAGTTCATCAGCAACAGTTTCACGTTAGAAGACTTTTAAATTCTCTGAACGCGAGTGAGACATATTGCTTATCCTTTTTTAGAGTTAGTGCATTTGTTTCGAAGCCACATTTCGCCTTCAGACGACTTCAGACTCAAAGAATTCGGATTGACAGGATCATTTTGCATCCAAAATACGTTGAAGGTAAGCTGGCTTCCACAACTACGTCCTCTTCGAACTCGGCGGCTTTTTTATGAGGTATTTAGAAGTTACGTCGCTTAAGGTTTATAGGTAAAATAAGCGAGACCCGTCAAGAGATGACGATGCGCTTAGCACAGGTGACTGCATCCCCCTAGGTCGTACAGTTGAAAGTACTGAGTACTGTTGTGATAGGAAAGATTAAAGATTTGAAATACTTCTTAGGAGTACATTCATCGTACAGTAGGCGACCAATCTCTTGAAATTTTGGTTAAAAGTCTGGACTGCGTTTTCGGTTAGGAAGGGCTATTGAGGTGAGATCGGAATGCCGATCACCGTGCAGCAAAAACCCCTGATAATTCAGTCAAGCCGGGGCGCCAGCTTTCGAATTCTCTTCTTTCTAACCGCCTGCAAAAGTGACACTCATTTAATAGACTGCTTTAGCAGTAAGAATTTTTATAATTTTTCCAAATAAATTTAATAAGAAACATGCACAAAACATCCTTCCAGGGGCTCATTTAGTAAAAAAATCACATCTCCAAATTTCATAGTCAAAGAAAAGGTACCCATTCATTTTGAAGTTTTCAGTTGGGGGATAACTTTGGACGCGATCTGTCTTTACGTCTGGTTTTAGGGTTTAAAGTCTACAAGCTGCATTCAGTAAGTGGGCTAACTTAAGCAATGTCAATGGATTCTCGATGCCCTTTAAGATCCAATCATATTTCATGGAAAACATGCACAAAAATATTCATTCTCTTGCTCATTCAGTAAAAAATTACGTCTTCCTTTAATTTTACACTCTAAGGAAGGGTATTATTTGGTTTTATAAAACTTTTCCAATTCCCGAATAATTTTTAACCGAACCTGCCGTTACACTTGCATTCAGGGTTCCAAACTACAAGCCGTATAATTCCTGCGTTCGGGAAGCCGTACATTTCTCTACGGTTATCAAGGGGGACCATATAGGATTCATAAAATTAAGCAGTGGATTTGAGCCACGTTGTTAACTTTACAAGCCACATTGGTAAATGCAGTGACATGATGTTTTATAAAAGGCCATTTCGCGGTATTAAAAATCTCACAATTGCAAAGTTTTTTAAAACCAAATTATATCCTTCCTTCGAGAGTAAAATTGGAAGAAAACGTACTTTTCTACTGAATGAGCAAAAGAATGAATATTTTATGCATGTTTTCCATGAAATATAAATGAATGTTTAAGAGCATCGAAAATCAATGAAAAAATACAGGCTACTTAAGTAGTCTTTCCTTACGGAGTATGGTTTTAAGATGCGACCGAAAAAGAATTTTTCGAAAGCCCACATCCTGAGGTAACTGAATTATTATGGAATTATGCTGCATGATGATTGATTTGCCATCTCTACTTAATTAATCTTTTCGAAACGGAAACGCATTTCGGAATTTCTGTTGACATTTCATGAGTTAGCCCACTTACTGTACTTTTCATGTAAGGAAAATTTTCTGTTCTACGTGGCATTTAGAAGGCACAATACAAGACCCATAACCTTCTGCAATGGATGAGAACTAGGTTGCATACTTCACAAGGGGAGTTAACAACCATTCAGAGAAGCTGACATTTGACTGAGAATTTCACGTCCCGTGTACAAACGGCTGTCTGCAAGGGCCCTAGATTGGACCACAAAGCGCAACGGTTCGAGCACATTTTGTTATGACTGGTTGGTGAACGCTGTCCCACCACATAGGCAGACTCTGTCGGAGGGAAAACAGTTAAACAAAATGTTTCGACATTGTCTAATGTCAGCTGACAGTGAAATTGATTACTTCGATATTACCAATCTATCAAACCGAATAAACGATACTAATTCTACTTCGAACAAGGCCCATATATGCAGTAATTAAAAGGACTTAGGGTTATTAAGATGCAAACGAAACCAGGGTTTTTACACTCTAGGCAGTTCTTAGCCGCTAAAAAGTTTCCAAGCAGAATAATTAACTCCCCCCTCCCATATGCAATGGCATGTTGAAAAAGTTCAAACTGCCGTCTAGTCACCAGTAAAATAACCTGGTGTGTTCTGGTAGTATTTCTGCACATCTGACAACCCAAGTTCTTGTGGTTGCACTTCTCCGCAGGTGAGCTTGAGTACGACATAGCGCTGGTAAAACTCACCGAGGCCATACCGCTGGGACAATACCCGCTGATCCTCAAGGCCAGGTTGCCAACCGCCGGTCTCGACACGAATACCCAACCAGCGCCGGAGACGGACTGCATTCTCGTGGGGTGGGGCTGTCTTGCAAAGTCCTCCGGTCCCTCACCCTATGCCATGTACGCCAAGCTGACAGTGTTTGAAAACAGCGAATGCTCCGAGATCTACAGTCACGCCGCAGGGCTTAATGATGAGCACGAATTCTGTGCCGGATTCCACAAAAAGAACATTGGGATCTGTCCGGTAAAGACTGCATTTTGAACTCCCTCTCAGTCTCTAATTCAGCTGTTTTCGTAGCCATGGAGGTCTGATTAAATAGTCATATGGTTTTCCCGTTAAACATGTGTTTTCTGATATTGATTGGTGTCGGAGATCTGAAAATGGAAATTCCGGCTTTAATCTGTTTTTTAAATGGTTGCACTGCCATGTGACCCATTTGTTTTGCATGCTTGTCTGTGAAACGGGAATAAATTAACCGTCAATTAAGCCATCATGATAACTGCAACATCAGGTCCCCAGTCAGAATCACCCAAGCCGTGAAACTGTGCGCCTCTGGCCGTTTATCTCGAGGGTCTTGTGGGCCACAGGCCCTCCTAATATTGTACATATATGTACCTTTAATATCTGATAACGGAAACTGATGAGAGAATTTCTGGACGCCTTTAACGTTGAGCATTTTGTTCGCCCATTCACATCCTTTAATGAATGGTCATTTTCTTGTGCAGAAATTGTGTTTACGTAATTCTATGAAGCAAACGATCAGTAAATGTTAGCGAAAATGGACGTTGGATTATATTCGTGCAATTTCCCATGCTACTTCATGTCTAAGACTCCGATTACGCAACTGAGTGACTTTTTTTATTGAAAGGATAGTAATTTACCCGCAAGAGTTTTAATAAGCAGATTTAGCCGGACTAGAAATTTTATTTCATGTCCGATGTTGACTATGGTTATCAACCTGCTAACGCAGAGGTTATTTTAAGAAAACCAGATGTTTTATCAATTCCTAAATGTCAAATTAGCAGATCTGTGCGATTTGGTGCCCTAAAGTGCAGTAATAACGCAGATAGGGACTCCTTCGTTTAAGTGGGCTGAAATTTTCCTGCTGTGTGGAAAATTCTATCTGATGTCACATAGATGACCACCACGGAATGGTTATTTCCAGCTTTAAACAGATGAAACACTATTTGTCTTGTAGGTTAGCTTCTGTGCATATCTTATTCAGAAACAGAACGAGCAAAACATTAATAGTTTCAGCAAAATATCAGTATTTATATGGGCGCCCTGCCGTACATTCATAATCGAAGAACGGAATCTAAAAGCGAACAAAAACAATGGAAATGGGCTGATCCCAAAAGTTATGTCCCGAAGACTTTTCTCCATGTCCTGCACGGTGTAATTTCTGAAATTATTCGCCTGATTATCCTCTGGAGTTCATATATATATACATACAGATACCAGAAACCGCATAGGGAACGCTGGGGGTCCCACTGAAGAGCCGAACTCCTCGCAGCTGTGTCACGCAGCGGCAAAATATTGACGAAACACGTGTCTGGGCTATTAGTTAGTACCTTTGTCGGCAGTACGGTATAATACGTTCGATGTGCATAAATAGTAAAGGTATTATACCGTACTCCCGACATAGATACTTGCTAAAAGTCCAGACACGCCTTTCGCTGATATTCTGCCGCTTCGTGACACAGCTGCGAGGGGTTCGGATCTTCAGTGGGACCCCCAGCGTTCTCTATACGGTTTCTGGTATATGAACTCCAGAGAATAATCAAGACAATAATTTCAGGAATTACTCAATGCAGGACTTGGATTTAAATATCCGGGACATGACTTTTTAGGGTCAGAACCGAAATTTTAATGAACATTTGAGTCGAGGGCAATCAACTACTGTGGAATAACCACGTAATGCCCATTCTACAAACAAGTAGTACCACGAGTATTATGAAATCCATATGGTAATGTATTTTACCGTACTCCCGACATAGATACTTGCTAAAAGCTCAGACACGTGTCTGGCGAAACACGTGATCACATACATTGATGAACAAAGTCATGAGGGTATTCAGTTTGGGAGAGCGATTCAAAAAGTACTTTATTTCTGTTTAATAAATATCTTCACCGGGACCGTTGGTTTCAACTCAATTTAGTAAGCTGTTAACTGAGCTGTGTTTACCAGAGTTGAAGTAATTATCGACATAATTTGAAATGATACCGGAGTACGTATCTTTGCAATAAATCAAACTTTGTACCTTCCCGTTAGTCCTTCGATGTTCGGAGACCTCTAGTAATGGAAGTTGTCCATTAAAAATTAATGCGCTATTAGCTTGTTTATATTTAGGTTCTCTGATTGGTTCCACTGATATGTGATTACTCACTCCTTTTTTTCAAACAGCAGGGTATTTTGTGGGACTTTAACGCCAATACCTCGGTCTCGAAATTTAATCCTCTAATGAATTTTCACTTTCGATACGCCCATCTGGGTAAATGCCTAACTGCATAATTATCTTTCAAATGCTTCCACTTCAAAGGGCGATAGTGGCAGTGGTCTGATGTGCCCAGCGGGCGATCACTGGGAGCTGATGGGCGTTGCATCGGCGACCCACGCCAAGGAACCCGAAAATTTCCCCGGCTTATTCACTCGTGTGGCCGTCTTCCGCGACTGGATCCGAAGGACCATGGCTGAGTACAGTTACATTGGTTTTGGACTGTACTGAAACCAAGCAAGATAGACATCACCCTTTTGTGATCCCCAGGCCTATCGTGAATTTTTGATTATCCCCAAACGCAAAAATACAGCTGTCATCAGTCTTTTTTCCGAAACTCGGGAACTTGTGTCATTGCTTTTGCATTTTCTGGACTCCATAAATGCCTTCGTTCAAAGCACCTCACTGTTTCTAATGACTGTTCTCTTTCTGCGGATGTTGGTCCACTAATTACTTAGAAAAAGTGATTTAGCAAACTGGGAAGATGAAACAACGCTATTTGCCTCATAAACCGTTTCAACCGTAACGAAACATGATTGAAGATTCCAGTTCTGAATATCGAAGTAATGCAATAAGTGAAAGTAGACGTCCTACCTTCTTTTAAACTGCCCAAGGATGGAAAAGAAATAAACGATGGGAAGAGAAAGAGAGTCGGGGAATTCGTGAGGCCATAAATGAAGACATGGAGACGGTTATGGGATGTAGAAATGGCTACGCGCAGACTGAGGAGAAGAGGAGATTAAGAAAGTGGAGCATGAGATGATAGTGATATTGATAATGGCAGTGAAAGTGGTGGTGGTGGTGGTGGTGGTGGTGGTGGTGGTGGTGGTGGTGGTTGTGGTGGTGGTGTAGTCGTCGTCCGCCTCCCTGTGGGGCACACGATAGACTTTACCAGAAACGACGGTCGAAATGTTAGTGGTGAAAAGCAAGATGATAATTAGGTAGAAATGTCCGAGGAAGAAGACTCTTGCATCCAGGTGGAAGCTTCGTCTGTATCGTTGCAGATAGACCTGTGGACAGCGAATGTATTGGTCTTCATCATTTTGATCGCCAATGGGTTATCATGCGGACGCCCAACCGTACACTGGCCCTCTGCATACGGTGGGCAGACGTGTGTGTCACATCATGAAACGTGACTCCCGCTCTGGATGAATAATGCGTGACTTGAATATTCCCGATCGCTAGGACTAGGTGGCCACGGGTAGAGGAATCAAACCAGCCAATAAATTGACTACGCCGACATTCATCGCGTCTTTGAGGTCAATTCGTCACGTGGACTTCTTCCGTCATTCGTCAACGCCTGTATAGTAGGTGAGTGTTCGCGCGTGGCGCACCTTAGATGGAGGCTCCACCAAATATCAGCACTGCTCCCCAACTCAAATTCAAAGGCCTCCGTTCTGAGTAAGCGCAGATATACAGCAAGGGAGAAGAAAGAGGATGACGGCGATTATGCTTAGGGTCCGGCACCGAGTTCATCATTAGAAATAGCAAAAAGCACTTTGGAACTCCGGCGTGCTAACATCTAAAATTTGAAAGGCTGGCGTGATAATCCCGCCTTACCTTGGAATGATCATATGGTTGTTGTAGCTCCGTATTAATATAGCGTTTGTAGCAGAAGTCAGTTTTGCGATATTGGACAATCGAGTCTAATCAGGGGTGTTCTCTCGATCGGCAGAAGTCGAAAGTTACGGCGGAATTCGGCTGTCGCCCGAGATAGTGAATTAACAGCTATTAAAGCGCCATAAAATGTTGTCTGTTATGCTGTCAGCAACTAACACCGTCTCAACCCCACCCCATCTGATTTACATTACCCGCTCTGACAGTACAACTGGTCCACTGCCTCACCAGAATGGAGGACATTTCTAGTAGACCGTAGACCGTCTTCATTCGATGTGAACATCGTTCTGTGCGATTATTTCCTCAGAAGAGAGGTACCTGCGAGAGGTAGGGGCTGGACATACCTTTATTTCAGAGGTGGTCAATCAAAGAAACATAGACGGTACGTTGGGTTCTCTCCTGCTATTAAAATCCACATCACAAAAAAGCTGCCATACCTGATTCCTGGAAGTAATTACCGATAAACCGCGATGTTCTTCGCACTCTATGAATAACAATTCTGCATGATTGTCAGATATTTCATTCCACAATCTCAATCGATGGGCATGGGAGGTACAAGTTCTACGAAGATCGGAGCTGCACAGATCAGCGAGCAAAGTGATTATCACTGCGACTCTATTTTGATTGTTTTAGAGTTGCGAAAATTCCCATTGGAAAATTCAAAAGGCAATTTGGCGAGCATATGTCTGCTTTAGATAAATTCTCATTATATGGCTATTGAAATAATGAAGTAAAAGATACGGGCAGGTAGATAATTAAGCTGTAGCTCGCGTTTGGAGAAGAAATGATGAGAGTGAAACACCAAAATTTCAGTCAGCGCCAGGAAGAAAGTGGGCCCCAATAAAGGTAATCATATGCGGACGACTGGCTTGGTGGCTTTGAACCATGGCAACTGTGGGACCTGTATGAAGTTCTTTTGCGCGCATAGGACCGGTTCACGTAACCTGATTGCAGCCGCCTCTGCCGTAGCCAACAGGCGCTGCCCATGCGGATTTCAGACACATCAGAAACGACGGATCCGATCATCATAGCGTGACAACTATAGGGAAAATACTCGACAATTTGAATCATTCACGATTCTATCTTTTCGATCTAACAGAATAGTTAGTGCCGGGGATCGAACCATACTCCTGAAAATAGTGGTGAGTTAAGGCGCCTGGAAAAGAGAGTACATGAACACATATTGGCCTGGCTAGGCAGAGGTGAAAACAAATCGATACCGAGTTCTATTCTCGCACATCTTGTCGATGCGAATCACCGAGTCGATGCCAAAGAAGCTTTTCAGGTTGTCTACCGGACACCAGAAAGCTTCTCCAGAGGCCTTCGCCAACGGATGCTAGCTACAGACGAGGCAGTGGCTATGCGGCCAGCCCATCCAGTGTTATGTTGTCAGAAGACGTTGACACAGGCGCTCTGTCTTCCGTGGCCAACGCCGATCCCAGATGATTATTGTGCGTCGCCCCAAATTCCTGATGGCAGTAATGTGTGCTCAACGCACCCGACTTACGGACATCACTCACAGCCTATGTCACCCCTCCCACTCGCCCCCTTGATCCAATGACCATACGACGCCGACCTCACCATGCGGGTGGCGTGGGAACGATGAGTGTAAAAAGCCCCTGAATCACTTACAGACCATATGAACTTCGCATATTTTTAACTTTCATGCAACTGCTTTGTCCTAATGACGAATTGCCGAAAACACTGCCAAATTGACTTCTCAATTGTAACATGGGAATACTCGCAGAAATAAGTATGTCTCAAGCAGTTCAAGTTGTTAGTTAGACCACTCCATGGCGGCATGGTAGAGGGGTTCACGGATAACGGATCAGTCTGGGAGACCTCCACAGTGGCAAATTGGATCAAGCAATTTAGCGAACTCGCTTCGATCCTCTTTAACCCCGTGGGTTCTACAAAAGTGGATGATCAGGAATTGATGTCAGTACTCAGAAAAAATGGGAAACTATCCAAACTCGTCGCATACTGTGTGCGCAGAAACACTGTAAGTACGGGAAACACGACCTTCTCTTCATTGAAGTTTATGCCTCGTGCACCGTAAATGAGGCACAATCCGTCTCCATATACGCCGAATTTGGATTAACTATTAACACGAGAAATGGTTCGCCATGCGTGAACTGGCACCGACAGCGAATATACAGAATCAATGTGCCGATCTGCCCAACTAGCTAACCGTTGACAGTCCGATCACCTTTCTTTAACTGTGGTATTTGTTTTAACGCAATCAAAACGATATGAAGGAGGGACGCACATCATATCTGGGCATGGAGATCAAGCCGTTGGATACCTAAATAATCATTTTGTTCTCATATTGGCTGTTCTTACTGTCGTTCTTAATCAGGCTAGTGCATATGGCTAAAACTCATAACATATAGGCTTCTAATCACGATTACAACATTGGCAACGTCCTCCTCCAACAGCCAACAATGAACGCTGAACGATGCAGACAAATTTACTTACCCGTAATGCATCATTTAGATGCATATCAGAATTAACGAGGAGACTGTTGCTTGAGTCACCGGAGTCGGCCAGGAGGGCCTCAATCGTTCGTGTGAATTTGCCGTCGCATCTCCCTGAATACCAAGCTGTGGATATACGGTGCCATGTCCTCCACGGAACGGAATCTTGCACAGTCTGCAAAACCAATCAACGAAACTGGGCCATTTCCTACAAGGCTGTCCTGAAAAATGCTTAAATTAAAGTGGCAAAAGCGGATCTCGGATATCTAGTTTCTGGTGTCGAATGGCATGCTAAGGCATATCCAACTTCTAAGGTGCGGTCACAGTGAATGTGACTCGTAGCGGCCAAGGACATCGAACCAACTTTGGTCACATGTCCAGCGAATAGCGTCGGGCAACATAGTGCCACAATGAAAGGAATGAAAGCGAAGTAGCACAATCAAATCCTTTAACTCCAAACTATGTCTACTCAAATGTGCACAGTAGACACGTAACAAGGTATTGAAAAGAAGTGAAAACGCTGATGTCACAGGTTCGTTTTTTATAAAGACTAAAACCAGAGAGCAGTGAGAACTTATTTATTCTGTACAGAGAATTGGTCGTTTGAGTTGACAGTTTGCTGGTGGGCCAGATCAAGACATTTTTCCGGGATTACGTGAGTAGCAACATGTGATTGGCGCGGGCCTCTCATGTACGTGTCTGCGTGACAGAATACCGTCACATCCCTCTGATCGGCTGAACGTTGGACATCTGATTGGTTGGCCCATGGGCTTCGTCGGGAGTTTCATGAGCAGGAGATACAAAGGGTCATAGTCAGGTCAAGAATGACAAACTACGGTGACCGAAATGCCGGCCGGTAGCGCCTGTTCACGGCTGCGATTACGACTCAACGCAGCTGTACAAGAGGTGCCTCTAGTCACGCCCAAGGGGGTGGCCGCGTGTTAGCGGTATGCATGCGGGTCAGCATGGCTGTCGTGGCAGTCAACTGACAGACAGACTTCGGAAAATTGGGCGCTTGATCGGCTCACACAGGCATACGGAGTTTCTCGATGTGACCCTTTCCGCGGGGGCGTCATTGCAAGCGCTTATTGACAAGGACGACAAAAAGAACGCCAAAAAACACTCTGGAGAATCTACCGGAGTGTCACTGATTAGATCATAACAGGTGTGAAGCCCTAGCGCAGAAGCGACAGGTCTGGGTAGATGCCATGAAATATGAGACAGAGACATGCAGAGCAGGATTCCGATGACAAATGTCGCACATAGGCAACATCTTTTAATGTGTCCGCAATCTCAGAGAGTCTTGGGGTTCCAAAACGTCCTTGTAGGATGCCTTCAAATCCATCACAATACCAGGGCCCCATTGTAGCTGCCGCTGTCCAAAGCACCAACAATATTAACGATGTCACTCTTCTCTGAACCTTTCTGTGACTGTGCCCGCCCACAGCTTGTCCTAGTCGGCCGTCTATGTGACAGTTCGACTGTCATTAGGGACGAAATCCATGGCGTTCCCCACATCCGGGTGGACGCAGGAATGGTGACTTGCGCGGCGTCTGCCGTACCCTCTCATCCCTGACCACATCTGCAACCCGGTGTCAAGATATAGTCAAGAATACCGGAGGCAGGGTCAGGCGCAATGGCTGGTAAATCTAAGCAGCTCGTTTGCGCGCAATTGGGACGGTCTTTCTCACACATGAGAGACTGGGGCGATTCGGTTTCCTACTGAGCGAGAGTGCCAAAGATGCAACATTAAGAAGGAGACATTGCGGCCTAACTCTCCGTCCTCACCGGAAGACCGAGTGAGCCCGTCAGCTGAAAGCCTTCCAAGGCACAGCTTCGGCGCACCGTTGTAGTTTAAAAGAACGTCAGATTGTTTGTAATGAAGAATATGCATCGACTCCCTACCCGTTCTTCTCTCTGCCAGCACCAGTTCACTACCCCGAGACAGTCAGTCATTCGATGTGGGGATTGGGGGCAGGGGATGACAGAGTTAAACAGCACGTCTGTGCATTACACACGCGACTGCATCAAGGGCGCCACGAGGAAACAACCACTAACACTGACTTACTCAACCTATAAACCGTCATGACGACCTGGAATTTTCCTTGATATACGCCGACATCTTGGCTTCAGTCAGTACGGCTTCCTTAAAGAAGTACAAGGTCACAACGCAATTCCTAGCTAGCAAGCTAGGCCGAGGGGAGCATATAAATGCAGTCTTACAGTACATAGACAAGGTTATTTATGCAGTTGGCTATAAATTACTTATTAAGCAGTTTTATAGTATAGTCCAAACAAGAGCGTAATCAAGTAGACTAAGTTTCATACAGGACGGAGGATATTCGTCATAAGCGTATGAGGCTCTACATAGTCCGTGTTAATTATTTCTAACGGGGCTCACACGGTTTTTGATAGAACCATCCTTTCTGACATTTAAAAGCAACGAGCACTTCAAGAGAGTCTTCGAAAGCTGCCAATAATTGAAGACAACAAGGAGAATAAGTGGTGGAAAAGGAGAACAAAATTTTATTCAGGAAGATTTTATTTGAGATTCTGAATGAAATAAATATAAGGATATGCCGGCCATCATTTCTATTATAGTGAGCAGTGTAATCTTCATGGCCCATATGAGTAATAAGCATGCTTGAAAAGATTTGGGCTCCATGAACTACTTTTATAGGCTCTCTCGCGATCTTGTGAAAAATGAACGTGAACATTTCCCTTCTAAAAGAGATATTCAGCACACCTGTGGCCGGAACCAAATGTAACAATCAACATTTTTTAAACTGCTTAGGGCGCCGTCTAAAGAAAGCCCTAAAAACGTAGTCAAAATTGTTGAAAAGCGTTTTGTTTATATACGCCAACTCTATAAGCGTTGTTATGGTATTTAGTCTGTAAATTGGTTTCTGGCTGTCCGCGCGTCGACGTCTTGATTATTTTTCGCGGGTTTACAATAAAGTACATTAATCAGTTCAGTCAAATACCGACAACTGTATCACCCAAATGTCCTCGTGTATTTTATTTTGTAGAAATACAGCCAATTAAAAGGGAAGTCTAATCGTTAAGCTTGTGAGTGAATCAAGCTATTAATTTCAATTCCCTTTCCATACTCATCTCTAAGACTTGATTGCGTCGATATCACACAGCAGTTAAGAGTGGACTGTGGCACCCTTAACATCTTGTCACGGGTTCAACAGATTTTTTCATTAGGACTTTTGACTATAACTCTTCGTGCAAGATCCAGAGCCCATTGTTTTTTACTGCATCATCAAACGTTCAGTTTGGTCTAGCTTATTTGAGTGAAATTTATGCGTGTAAATCCGAAGTGACCATTTGTCACAGGCAGCGGAAGTACATCAACCACTTTGGAAAATCCATTATCAACCAACCATGCGGAAAATGCTAAAACTGTTAGGGTGGATGAACTATTACAAGCGTTTACAGCATTAGCAGTTATTTCGTCGCGAACTGCATGTGGGCTACAGAGAAAGTTGTACCATGTCAATGGTCTGTAAGCGCCAAAGTGAATGTCACTAAGCATGTGCAATGAGTATGAGACGGAAAGAAATACCTTGAGCAAACGTTCCTGAAATGTATGCAGTTATTTATTGCGAACATAAATGCGTCGCTCGAATGGCATTATGGTGCGTAATACTACACTGGTCCAGTTTCTGCAGTCACATCATTCAGCTTGTTCGGATAATTTTAAAAAGTCCCAGACTGTTTACATTTCGAAAATTCACTGAAATGTCTTCAGGGCAGGTCTCATCCACTCTTCTTTTGTGTGCTAACTGACATCTTGTACTGAAACAGGACGCCGTGGCTGACAGAGCTGCAACAGCCCATCTCCGTGGGTCGCAGTATGTGTCCTGTTCGTGTGTCGAGAGTTGTGAGGAGGTTTTGTGTGTGATGCATAGATTAAAATGACATTACCGACATCACCCATGCCATTGTCGGTAATGTCATTCTGCCAATATCATGCACCGCTGTGCGGCTGCTGGTTGGACTCGAGAGAGAGCCCATAAGGCTCAGCGGAACGAGTGAGTTCCGTAAGAACGATCGGTAAGCTTCTCCTACCAATACATTGATTATTTATGAGACATAGAAAGATCGGATTCGAACTGCGGCGTTTTACCACGCCGTTTTTGTGAAGTCGCATATGACGGAGTCGGTCCCTGTAGCAAATGAATGTTAGTAAACATTTCATGTGGATGAGGCGGGCGTTGGATTTTTTAGTGGCCGACAGGGAAAATGCGTGGTTCGTATGTGGGTTGAAAGAGTAGATAAGATGGATAAGGGCTGCTTATTTTCTAGTGACAGTGCCGCAGATGGCGGGCGATCGGCGGTGCTGGCAGTGACAGAGTTTACAGACTCATGTGCTGAATTTCATTCATCGACGTCGTAGTGAATTCTGTTGTCGTGGATGCGGTATAGTCGGCTATTTGTTTGCGGTGGCTGAATGTGCGTGGAAGTGCAACAGGTGAAATGGGTGCAGCAGGTGTATAATAATAATAGTAATGTTTAGTTTTGATTTACAGACATCATCTGTCGTCCGGAGGTCACGCCAGACAAAGAACCTCAAAAAGGCAGGCAGCCTCGCCTAGGAAGCCAGCCTGTGAGCCAGAAATTAGCACGCGGCGGAGTAACGCGCGGCCCTCAAGTGAGGGTCTACCCATGCGGACGCTCAGGCCTGGACCAGTAGAAACACGTAAACCAGACAAAGGCCGAAACCTTAAATACGAAGGCATGGACAGAAGGATTTACAGTTGATGTATACAGGGTGATTGACACAGTTAAGTTGTTCTGTGGTATCCTGTCTCTCTTCTATTCCGCACAGATCTGAGGGTTATAGTGTTAATCGAGTAGTGAAAAAATTCCGGACCTATCCGCAAAGAGTTCGCTGGTTCTTGGATAGCCAGTGTTACAATAATTACAACAATATTTTCCTTGGATGTCGGTTATGCAAATAAAACAACTGCGGTCTGGAAGATGATTGCAGGCCAGAACGGGGATATGTGGCACAAGAATAGAGTAGAATAGAATAGGTTCATTATAGCGCCCATTGTGTACGTCCAGTCTCCCTTGAACATAGGGAAAAAACCCAAAACAAATTCACCCATTTCGACTTCACTTTGACTTCATTTATTTTGGGTGTCTGTTTAGCCCCTACAGGGCGAATTGAGAGTTTGTTTCAAGTTTAAAAAAAACCAGAGTTCCGTGGAAAAAATAATCACAAAAGTTTTAAGAAATAACGATATGCACAATATAAACTTGAAGTGTGCAGTGTGGTAGTTTCTGAGGGGGCATGAATAATATGTCCTTCATTGAAATTAAAGAACTTTGATATCAGCCTGACCTTGAAAGTATCTTCCAGTTGGGTAAAATTCGGTGTGTTCTAGTTGGTGGTTGTCAGTCTATTTGGCCAGCTGTAAATGAGCGGTCGCACATTTTCTTCGTGTTTTTCAGGAGGCTTGCCATAATTGCCTGGACTAAGAGATGGAAAAGATGAACATATATCAGGAGTAAAAAAGATTCAATGGTAAGCCACAATCAAAGCTGTCAAAATAGTGTTGTTCTTGTGAATGTGACATTATAGGAGTAGTGGTCGACTGTTTACAGTGATCTAATATAGTTGCATATAGGTTTAATATGACTTTAATATAGACTTACGTACAACTACTATGCAGGGTTTTATCGAAAGGGATGTTATCATAAGCTCCTTAAGGGATATTTGGTGTCAGGTTACATAGACAATAGAGACGATAAAGGGAGGAAAGAATAAATATCCCTATCTGTTCTATGTTTATTAATGAATGCAGGGACTTTGTGGTCACAATTCCTTTTCATGAGATTTCAGCTCCGTACCAGACAAGGGTGGTTAGGTGCCCCTGACACCAGCTCACAAATCTCAGTGCAATGGATACGTAAGTGACCGACCAGATCAATGCACGACGTGAGAGCGCGACCGCAATGAGAAGAGATGGGGATTAAATCCCCATTGCAGGTGGAGGGACCGGTTATTTGGTGGCGGTGACGATATCTTGTGGTTGAGCATCAAGGCTGTACTCAGCGGTGGCAGAATTTGGAATGGTAATAATTGTCGTTGCCGCTGACGTAGGGTTGCGGTATTGATGATAGAGCAGTGATGGGCAGCGGTGACCGCCATGACGGGACATCGGCGGTTTGCACACAGTTGGTGGTGACGGTCATAGTGGACGTCGTGAAAATTGCGACGGAAATAACAATGGGAACGTTTGTGGAGGCAGAAGAAAAGGGAAGTAAACTGAGTCGTTGTGCCGCACGCGAAGTGTCCGTTGACGACGCGCCACTTTGAGATGGGTTCGGTATTGGAATTGCGGGTCTGCATCGTTTGAGACTGGTGGGCCCTGGATTTATTCTGGACGGCAGCGAACCGGTGGGACTAGTAAACAGCTACTCCGGTCTTTACCGCTCTTCTCCAGACCGATCGATCATTGGCAACGTCACCCAGGTCTCTAGATTTGCAGCGGCAGAACGTCGGCAAAACACGCGTGTGTGGGTGTTTTGCGATTACCTGTGCTGCTAGAAAGGTATCTCGTAACCCTAAAATATACTACTAGTCGCCTGTCGGCATTCGATGAATATTACGTGGTTACATTTGAAGGACTAAGAATCTTGGAGTACGATGCAGTCAGGTCCTTTATACCTCCGGGCACATTTATATCGTGATAGACGGTGTTTAGCTGAGACTGATAGCCGTCGCAAACAACCATAACTGAGCATTTGTGCCAAGGAAAGGAAGGATGCCATGTGCAGCTTTACTGGGCAAGAGCCCGAAGATCGATCTTCAATTTCCCGAGCAAGATGTCGCAATCCGATGATTTATCTCCGTAGGCAACGTTCAAATCATCAGCACACATAAAAGGTCTTCCATCCCCGAATTAATTCGATGAATCGTAAGCACTTTGAAGTGAAAAACCTCATCCGGCCTATGAATTCTGCATTGGTGATATCCATTTCGAACCTCCTTCTTAATACCGCATGTAGATCAGTCCTTTCTGGCCCGCATACGTACCCCTTCATGAAATCCGTTATACACTGCTATATGCAGGTTGACCACTACCCCCGCTCGGTCGAAGTGATCATGCAGTGCTTTTATGCGAGTACTTGCTGTATTCTGAACCGTGTACAAAAGACAATACGAGGCCAAATATATGGAAAGGGGACTTTCGCCAAATGAGAGCTGAGGCATCACAAATAGACTGGGATGTTCTCTTCTCCGGAAACGTTAACGAGGACTGGAATTTATTCAAGGATCGTTTACTGCATCTAATGAAGAACCACTGTCCCTTATCAAAGCCTAGGACATCCAACCGCCCTCAGTGGCTTACACGAGAACTCAAAAGGGAGATCAACAAGAAAGGTAGATTATGGAAAAAATTTCGCGAGAACATCAATAATGCAGCGTTTACAGAATACAAAATTCAAAGAAATAAGGTGAAAAGCCTGATTTTCAGAAGGAGACGGGATTTTGAGAGTAATTTGCTCCACCGAGCCGTTAAAAATCCGAAATTGCTCTACAGCTATTTGCGGAAAAGCACACGTAACAGGAATCCCATTCCTGTTATGAGGGGTGATGACGGCTTGGAGATATCGGACAGTACAAATAAGGCTGAGCACTTTTCTCAATTTTTCCGATCCGTTTTCACCAGAGAAGCGGACTTTACCCCATCTAATTCTGAGAACATGAGAGATCCCACTATCGAAAATATTGTGTTTCGAGAAGAGGCGATTTTGAAAGAACTGAAAAGCTTGAAGGAATGTAAATCTCCCGGTCCGGACGAGATTCCAGCAAAGCTGCTCTTTGAGCTTGCCCAACAGCTGGCCAAGCCACTATCCTTTCTGTGCCAAAAATCGTTTGATGCTGGAATTCTTCCCACAGATTGGAAGACGGCCCACATTACACCCCTTTACAAAAGCGGTAGTCGTGCTCAGGCGACAAACTACAGACCCGTCAGTCTGACATCGATCTGCTGCAAAGTGATGGAGAAAACAATCAAAAAGGAGTTGATGGCTTACTTGGAAACCCACAACCTCTTGTCCAATACACAATATGGTTTCCGTAGGGGAAGATCATGTGTTACGAACTTGCTATACACAATGCAAAGTTGGACACGAGCACTGGACGCAAAACACACCGTGCATGTCGCCTATATTGATTTTCGGAAGGCGTTTGACAGTGTTCCGCACCAGCGTCTCCTACACAAGTTGAGAATTATGGGCATCGGTGGCAAACTTCTCAAATGGATCGAAAATTTCCTTGTCGGCCGCTCCCAAATTGTCTGCGTAGAACAACAGCAATCAAGGTGCACATTCATAGAGAGTGGGGTCCCACAAGGCTCGGTGCTCGGACCAACTCTCTTTCTCTTGTTCATCAATGATTGCGTAGATGGGTTGGACTGTGATTGTGCCATGTTTGCGGATGACATAAAAATCTGGAAAGTTATCCAGAATGCTGCCGATGAGACCAACTTCCAAGAAAATCTTTGTCGGTTGGACGAGTGGTCCCGCAGATGGCTCTTGGCCTTCAATTTGAACAAATTCACCATTCTGCGCCTCGGAAATCAGAGCCCTAGTACGCGGCAATACCAGCTGAACGGAATGCCACTCCGAGAAGCAGAAACTCAGAAAGATCTCGGAGTTTGGGTTGCAGACAGCCTAAAGCCTTCTACACAGTGCTGTAATTCGGCCAAGGCCGCAACTTCAATGCTATATGCCATCAAGCGGGCATTCGTAGTTTTCGATGAAGACTGCTTCACCAAAGTCTTCGGCACGTTTATAAGGCCCCATCTCGAATATGCAATTCAGGCCTGGAGACCGTGGACGCACCAGGATTACGATCTGCTCGAAAGGGTGCAGAGGCGAGCCACAAAATTAGTAAGAGGTCAAAGTGCACTGCCATACGAGATCCGCTTAACTAACCTTAATCTCTATCCTCTGAGTTATAGGCAGTTGCGCGGAGACATGATACAAACTTTCCGTATCGTTCGCGGCTTGGATTGTGCCCTTCGGTGCGATGACTTTTTCCAACTCGCCACCACAACTCACCTCCGGGGACATCCCTTCAAGCTACGTGTGCCACAGGGTAGACTGAATGTGAGAAAATATTTCTTCTCCAACCGTGTCGTGGAACCGTGGAATAACCTGCCCGAGACGGTTGTTATGTCTCAATCTGTGGAGACATTTAAATGTCGCCTTGACAGATATATGCTGCAGCAACAAGCGGACTATGTGACTTTTTAACCATGTGACAAGTGACATATGTGAATCAATGTATGCATTCACTTAATGCTGTAATTTCTTCACATTTTTGCTTGTTTATCGATTTTTTATGTACAAATAGGGAGTTCAAAGGCGTAAGCCTATTTCCCTCAAATACACTGACTGACTGACTAACTGACCAGGTCGAAATCTAGGAGATGAAGCGACGGAAGCATTTTTCTTGTTACACATTGACTTTGGACCCGGACAACTGCGATGGTTCTGGCTGGGGCGGATTAGCAGAAAAATCAGAGGCGTAAACATATCTAAGCACGGAAAGTTTTGGTTGCACAAGTCAAGGAAGTGAAGTTGCGACGTTAGAGTTGTCAGATGCGGGTTGGGGAGAACACTGGGTTCCGTGATACTTACAATGCCTCAACTGAAAAACCCTCCTTCGCATGAGATATCCTGACAGCCAAAATCAAACATTTGGTTCGAGATGCGAGGAGACAGGGCAGATTTCCAGACATCCTCCAGGTGTAAGGGTAGGAGGATATGAAGTTTAAGATCATAACAATAATATTGGGTGATGTGTGTCTAATTTTCCGATGGTCTCATGTCAAAGCCATTGTAAAAGCCGATAGGAAGGGATGAGAAACAGGACAAGTTAAAAGAGTTGTAATTAATAAACCAGTCTCTCGCGCGTATGATCAGAAAGAACTAAATCTTTCCGTCCTATTGCCTGTTCTTCTGTACTCCTGAAACTTACTGAACGAGTTGCATTAGATTCCCTTAAGTATTCCTCCGTCCATTTTTCTGATCCTCTACAATTTGCATACAAGGCAAAGCGTAGCACCTTGGGTGCTGTTGCTTTAGTTGTCCATTCAGCTTTGAGAAACTTGAACAAGGGATGCCGTGCGTATGCATGTGCTTTTCTCGAATACTCATCCGCCTTCAATACTATTCCGCGCCAACTCCTACTAACCATAGCAGTTGAGTGTGACGCTCCGAGCTGGGTTGTTTCTTGGCTTAGAGATTACTTTCCTTCCGCACACAGTTTGTCCAGTCGGGAAAGAGAAAATCTTCTGTTCTTCCAAATAATTGGGGAGTTCTACAAGGTTCCATCTTATACTCTCATCTTTTCTCTCTACATACTGATGATTTGAGATCGCCAAACGACTGCCTGTATGTTAGGTATGCCGATGACATGGTCGTAGGCCACCCACTCAAAAACCTGACTCACCTACAGTCTTTAAAGGATGGCTTAGATCACATCTTCGCATGGTCGTCGAATAATGGACTCCTACTCAACAATCAGAAATCAGTACAATGTGTGTTTCGATTGCGACCCTCTCTCATTCCTGAACCTTTGGATATTCTTCCCAATGAGGTATCCTCTTTCCGGTACCTAGGTGTTACTTTGTCCTCAAATCTCTCTTTCTCTCTTCATATAGAAACCCTTTTAACAAAAATTCAAAAACTTTTTTATTACATTCGTCGTCTACGTTCATATAACACACCCCAGTCCTTAAGCTGGGGATTCATAGATGGCTGTATTCTTTCACCCAGTCTTTATTGTTCTCCAGTTATTTTTCCAGCTTTACTTAAAAAGATCTAATTATTTTTAAACGTGTCATTTGAATGATCGCCTCTGCTGCTGGTGTTTCCTATCATATTTTAGTTGATATCATCGTGCAGCAACACTTCAATATGGTGGAGCAATTTGCTGACCGAATTCTGAATGACACCGTCCATCCCCTTCATAATGAGTTAATGGCTGCGAAATCCTTACGCCCCATGCGTCGATGCTTCCGCCACATCCCTTGTCGCACTTCGGCTTATCAGAATTCAATACTGCCATTTCTAGCCAGGTATCTCACCTGCAAAGATGCTGAAAAACAAAAGCTAAAACTCGATCTTGCACCTTAAAGTCCTTTTTTCTTCATATAGAATTATACCCACCTGTCCAGTACCTGTTACTCTCTATGGTAATCACTGTGTACTGGAGAACGTTTTCTGCTGAAAGTTTTGAATGTTATTTTCAAAATAAAGCTTCCTCTCTCACTCTCTCAAGAACAAAGAAGCCGCAAGAATGCAGCGTGAAGATAAAATGATATTGAACGTTGTAAAAGTTCCTCGACGCATTTAATGAAAACGTTTTTTTGTGTTACCGCAATACTTCCCCTCTCAGGAGAACAGGGTTCACATGAGGAAAATGGGTGTGAATTAAACAAGTGTTAGGCATAATGTACAAGTTGGTGACGATCAGGAAAATGGACACGACGACCGCTGCGCTGGAATCGGGAGGCGAATGCAAGGGTTATCAGGTTGGAGCGGAGGTGGGGAGGTCGAAGAAAGCACTGTGACAGGTGAAAAGTCTGATCTGTTGGGGCGGGCGAAGGAAGGTCAGTATAGGCCACCTTTAACCGATCGATCGATACCGCTTCGGTGTGATTGCTACGGACGATTTTGAAATGCATGTCTGTCCGCGACAGGACTCGAAGTGGTCCGTCGTAGGCAGCTGTAATGGCTTACGAACGCTATCTACGCGGACACATACAAAAGAACACGTTAACAGGTTAGGGTCAATATACGACTCACTTACAGGCACGGGTGGGGGTATGGCTCAGAGATTGCTTGGTGCAACCCTTGGACATAATCTGTTGCATCCAGATCAGTAAAGATTTGGGATGGCCCGAAAAAAAATCGCTGGTAATCCGTGGTGTAGTGCCATAAAAAAGTTGGGCAGTGGAGCACTCAAAGTCGGATTTCAGGGAAGTGCGGATACCAAACATGACCAAAGAAAAATGCCTATTCAAATGTGTGAGGTTACCTTACGTCCGGAGTGAGGTTTGGAATTGACGGTGGAAACGCTCAACTAGACCGTTGGATGAGAGAAGGGAAGCCGTCGTACGTATGCGAGAGCACCCGAGGAGGTCTTTAAGGGCCTTAAGAAGTCTAGATTCAAATTGCTGACCTCGGTCAGTGGTAATAGTAGTGGGGACACCATAATGAGAAATCCAGTGTTCTAAAAAGGCACGATCAACAGTATTTGCAACGATGTTTGGTGTCGGGGTTGCGATGGGCCATTGTGTAAATCGGTCAATCACGGTGAGTAAATAGTTGCAACCACAGGATGTTGGCGAAGAACCCGCGAGATCTACGTGCAAATGCGCAAAACGTGCATGGGGTGCAATAAAAGTCCCAATTTGGGCTTTGTGGTGACTTCCGATTTTGGCTTTCTGACAGGCCAAACATTGCGTAGTGCACTGGTGGATATCAGTGTTCATGCTGGGCCAGACAAATCGGTAACTGACGAGGCGATGAGTACCCCGGATGCCAGGACGGGCTAGAGTGTGTAACACGGCGAAAACATCTCGTTGCATCCCGTTTGGTACTAAAGGGCGAGAGGAACCGTGAGACACATCTCACTAGACTGTACTGGAATTGGCAAACAGAGCGATGGCTTCAAGCACTTTGATGGGACCCCGACGGGTCTTTAATAAAAATAACTATTAATTATCATTAAGCTGAAGGCTAGTATGCGCTTATTGTTCGGAAAAATTCGGCCGCTGTTGCAGCTCCTCATCGATAGATAGGCGGGTGATCGCATTTATTCCAGGTCAGGAAAGACAGTCAGCGACCTAATTAAAGAGTCCTTTAAGAAATCGAATATCTGTTGTATACTGGGAGATAAAATGAAGATGACGAGCCTCACGGGACGAATACTTGTCAGAGAGAGTGGAGAAGGCATAAGTAAGGGGTTTATGGTCAGTGTAAACACGACAATTTCTGCCTTCAACAAAGTTACGAAAAGTCTTATTGGCAAGCTAAGCTTCAAGGCGTTCTCTGCCAAACATGCTATAACAAATTTGGGAGGATGTCAATATAGCAGAGTAGGAGAATAATGGCTGAGTGCCCCTTGGGGTCTGTTTCTGGAGGTCTGCACCTATGGCGCAACTTGAAGCGTCAGTAACAATGGTCAGCGGGGCATCAGTCAGAAGGTTAGGAAGAGCAGTTGTATCCGCAACAATCTCTTTGACACGCCGAGAGGCGTCCACGGCTGTGTCAGGACAAGAAAATTCGTGGTTGTTGCTTCGTAAAGGATTTGTGAGAGGTAACATGAGTTGGCCACAGTGAGGGATGAAACGTCGGCAAAATTTGACAAGACCTATGAGACGGCACAACTGTCTGAAAGAAGTGGAAGCAGGGAACTTGCGAATAGCTGAAACGTTAGCGTCTATGGGATGACAACCGGAAGCATCTACGCGATTTCCAAGGAACAAGAGCGGATGAAGGCCAAAGGCGCATTTGGAGGCGTTGATAAAAACTCCAAAATGGTTCAACCACTATGAAATTAGACAGAGGTGTTGTAGGTGTTGCTGTTCACTGGAGCCTGCAACTAGGAAATCATCGACATAAACGAAAACGAAGGATAATTCGAGGAGGACCTCTTTAAGTAAACGTTGAGAAGTTAAGGCGGAGTTGCGGAGTCCAGCAGGCATCCCGACGAACTCGGAAAGACCAAATGGAGTTGTAATCGCCGTTTTTGGATTTCTTCTGTAGCAACGGCGACTTGATGGAATGCTTTTACTAGGTCGATGCTTGAAAATATTGCTGCCCGGCTAGGCTAGAGGAAAATTCATGGAGGTGAGGAAGCGGATATCTGCCAGAGACAATGCACTTGTTTAATCGTCGGCAATCACCACATCGATGCCATTCCGTTAGAGACTTTTTTGAAACCATATACAGAGCGGCGGCCCATGGACTAGTGGGGTTCCGAACTATGCCAAGTTGAATCATATAGCTAGATTCAGTCTTGGCGTTAGCTAACTTGTCAGCCGCAAAACGACGAGGAC